ACAGTGGTGATGTGTGCAGCGTCTACTGCACACTTTATTCACTTGTTCACTTTTTTCTGATGGTAAAGTACTGTGGTGACGACCGAAGTTGGGCACGGGCGCAAAACTCTACGCGAGCCACGCACGGCCTGCCCTTCTCTGCATGTACTGAGCATTTGCTATGGGGGCCTGAAGCTCACATGGGTGGGAAAACATGAAGGCTGTAGTTAAAAGAGACTTTTGTAATCTTACTTTCAGTCCGGTGAAGGATCGAGCTGTCCAGTCATTTAACATCCTTCTGAGCTGCAACGTTTAGCTCGTAGTGGCAAACGAAGGGGCGTCCGGCTTTGTGAAGTAAGGAATGCGCTGAGGTGCCGTGGGGTTGGGTCCTTCGTTCACGGTCTAATGTCCACTTCCCGCTCGCGTACATCAGTCCACTGACCGAAACTATCAGTCAGCTCACTGACTGACGCATTCTGGAAGCTTAAATGTGGCACGTGCCTCAGGCATCTACCACAGAGAGCCCAGCGCGACTTGATAGACGCGTACTGTGAACCAATCCGATTCTGTTTAGATTTAGCGTATTTGCCACGTAGCCAGTTAAATCACACTCACCTTCCTTCCCCACCAATTTTAGGTGGTGATTCCAAGGATTTAACGGCAAGGTTTGGAGATCGAGAAATGGCGCCGGAAATACTGGCAGGCGCAGCTGACGGTATCGAGCGGACGGCGAGGACAAGTCGAGAGGGAATCAGAAGGGCGGACGGGGACATAGTGGAGGGCTTAGGTGGCACCCTCAAGACCTCAGAGGACGCCGAGCAGCGCCCCTCATCGTTGTTGTCCTCAGCCGGCAGAGGTTCGTTTGTATTGGCATTTTTAATTTGCATAATTTGATTTAACTTCCTTTCAGTATTAGGAGAAAAGCAAAGTGAACTTTACTTTTCCTGCCCACTGTACAGTGTTCCGTTTACTAGCTGAAGTGCTGTGTGTTCTCGCAAACCCTCAGTCATGACTGGAGCGTTTTACTTAGAGCAAGCCGGTGAATACAGATTGTTTCGTAAGTTAACCCAGAACTTGGTGTTGCCGTGGAGGCGGATGGCACAGTTGGTCGACATTTAACTGTGAGTAGTGGAGTGGCGGGAAGATTCCAACCAATCAGGATTTGAGGCATTCTCACATTTCCTCATCCTTCTTATTGCCATTGGTTCCTCCATAGCATGCATGCCAGAACATTGCCAGTCGCATACGCGGGTGGTGTGGCCGCCTTATTCACCGAGATTTACGGTCATATTCGCAGATGGCGCTGATGAAATCGGAATCTGAATAACTCTGGTTCTCTAACAACTTCTGTCACGGTTTGTTAGACCTCACAGACTGGACCTCGGGTTTTGTATGATTCGTATCGCAAAAGAAACTCCCACCTTGTGAACTATCGACATATTTTTGGAACGTCGGTCTTTAACCCCACCACCACCACCACCAACACCACCATCACCAACGCCACCACCACCAGTGATGTGGACTCGATTCAAACGTGTCTTAATTGCGATTGTACCTTCACATGACATATAAGCCTGGCCGGTTGATTGTGAATTCATCGCGCGGCGACTGACGGATCACTACCTGGGGGATCAACATACACCCGTAGCCCTCCATTTGACTGCCCACACTACCGACACATACAGTGGGTGGGCTAACTCATGAAATGTCGACAGAAATTCCGAAGTGCGTTTCCGTTTCGAAAAGATTAATTAAGTAGGTTTTAAAACTAAGCAGCCTGCAGTACAATTGTAAAATAATTTAGTTACCGCAGAATGCCGGCCTTCGAATGAACATCCATCTGGCTGCATGCAAAAACTATCCTCTGTAAGAAATGACTACTTAAGTAGCATGCATTTTTGTCTTTGATTTTCGATGCTCCTAACAGTCCAACTATATTTCATTAAAAACATTGAGAAAATATTCATTCCTTCACTCATTCGGTAGAAAATGATATCTTCTTTCAATTTTATACTCGAAGGAAGGGCATAATTCGGTTTTAAAAAAGTTTCTAATTGTGGGACTTTTAAATAGCGTGAAATGGCCGTTCATAAAACGCCATGTCTCTGCATTTACCAATGTGGCTTGTAAAGTTAACAATATGGATCAAATACAACGCTAAATTTTATGAAATCCATATGGTCTCCTCTTAATGCAGTGGAGAAATGTATGTACGCGGAAAATACATGGCTTGTAGTTTGGAAACCCTGAATGCCAGTGTGACTGCAGAGTGGGTTCAAAATTATTCGGGAATCGGAAACGTTTTTGAAAACCGATTAACACACTTCCGTCGATTATTAAATCGGAAGAAGACGTAAATTTCTACCGAATGAGCGGAAGGAGGAATATTTTTATTTATGTTTTCCCTGAAATATAATTGGACTTTTAGGGACATCGAAAGTAAATGAGAAGATGCATGCTACATAAGTTGGCATTTTTGCAGAGTAAAGTTCTTGCATTCAGTCGAAAATACGTTCATTCGAAAGCCCGCACCCTGCGGTAACTGAATTATGATAGAATTATGCTGCGCGATGGTTAGTTTTACAGATCTACTTAATTAATCCTTTCGAAATGAAAACGCATTTCGGAATTTCGGTTGACAATTCATGAGTTAGCCCACCTACTATATTCAGCCACTGAATGGGCATATGCATGAATCATATGCACTCGTGCAAAAACCTATCATACAACGTCGCCGGTCAAAGAACACCACCACACCTCTTCACGATGGCTCCCTCTTAATACTGACAGTTCGACCATCGGTTTCGATGATGTCCACCGTGTGCCCCACAGTTGCAGCAGCAGTGGGAACAGGGACGGTGACTTACGCAGGGGTTTATAGTCTCAGTAGACTTGCGTAGCATCTACCTACACTCACTCCTCCTCCCTCGCCCGAGCCCGGTGTCAAGACAGAGTCCAGAAGACCGGAGACGAGGGAAGCCGCAGGTGGATGGCTCGGACGGATCCTCACCTTGGCGTTCCACCACACCCCCTGGTCCACACAACAATAACCAGGATTTCAACCAACACAAGAGAGATTTGGAGGCTGGCACGACCGAAGCCGCACTTAGGCGTACCGCCAACGCCTGGCTCGGATCCCACACTGTGGTGGGAGTGCCATAAAGGCCACATTAAAAAGGAGCCATTGCAGCCTGACTCTCAGACCGCCTCCCGTTAAGGAGGAGGTCCAAGTTACCCCGTCAGTTGGCAACCTTCCAAGCCACGGCTTTTAGCGCACCGTGATAGCTTCAAGCGCGTCAGATTGTTTATAGTGAGGAGAAAGTGCGCTGAGTCGTCGACCTCACTCTCCCTTTCCACTCCCACACCCCAGCCACTGTCCGAGCCGGTCAGCAGACTGGAGTGGGGAGTGGGCGCGGTGGCTATCATGGTCGATTGACCACGACTGCGCGCGCCACGGCACGACCTGGCCCCCCCATACACACACAACCACCAGGATTTCACACAACGGGGGTTGAGCGGCTTGTCTCTCACTTGCGTGAGAGGGCCGTGGAAGATGCAGCTTCAGCCCGTCCCCAGCCCACCAGTCCGCCACTCCACACAACACACACACACACAACGCGACGAACTGCGTGAGCCGAGAGCGGGCGTCAATCAGCAACCTTCCTATCCACGACGCTTGACGTGTCGGGATAGTCTCGGACTCAAGTCACCCGTGCAGCCGAAACCGCATGGGGACCGAGTCGAGATGCGGACTTCCCACTTGCGTGGGAGGTGGCAGTTGGGTGCGCGTTGGTGTCTGGTGGGGTGATGGTGGTGGGAGGTAGGGAGTGTGTGGATGTGTGGTGTAACCGGCAGTTGTCTACCGCAGGTCATCGTGGATGCGCATGTGTCCGAATACGCCCATGCGATGCCTGAAAGTGCGAGGGCAGTGTGGGCAGTTGAGACGAGCGTGGTGGGTGTAGGTTGGTGCTCCAGGCACTGGTTCGCCAGTCTCTGTGCGATGGATTCGCAAGTGACCGACCAGGCCGATGCGTGAGGTGAAGGTGCGTGGACAATGTGGGCATGAGAGGTGGGCGGTGTCGGTGTCATCTGTAGAGGAAGCGGTGGTGGTGGTGGTGGTGGTGGTGATGGGCGCGTGTGGCG